TGAAGACCTGTCAACATGAGTCTCTGGACATCACGTCCATCCTTCTAGCCAGGACAACACTCGACCACCCATGATCTGTATTTTCTAGGCCTAGAGATTCTTCCAAGTCAAGCAAGAAACAAACAATCCTCTGAACTGGCAACTCGGCCAGGCTGTCAGAATTCTAACCCACGGAAAGGCCATGGACATTTTGTCCTGGCACTGAGAGTTACCATCTGAATAAATTAATATTTATGTGCTTTTATGAGGAAAATTTTTCTTGATCTTTAACAAGGACAATCAACCTTTCAATCTCACCTGGCCTTTGTATCTCTTTTCATTTTCACCTTGCCCACTGGCTCAGAATAAATATTTCTCTGATTTTTTAAGTAGCATTTGTTCCCACAGCTATAGCTTTGAGACAAAATACTTTTCTTAGTAATACTCTAAGAGGGAAAATACTTGGCTCTCTCCTCCGTAATTTTTGATGGAACCTGTTTATTGCCTTGTGGTCATTCCATTGGCGGTCATTTGATGCTTTGGACTGCCGAATGAGGCCCCATTTGGGCTGTGTCTCTGGACACCAGTAGAAACATTTGGAAAGTTTAAAGAAAACTCAGACAACCAGTTGCACTTGGGGAAAAATATAACTAGATTCTGTCTCTCACCTCATATCAAAATCCTGGATGAGTTAAAGATTTAAACAAGAAGAAAATATGAATCAACATTTAAAACATAGTTTGGGGGATATGGACACCCCTAAACATGTTACTGAAGGCAGAAACACAAAGACAATTACGTAAGAGTTAAAAAATCTTCAGCACAGACGCCCTCCCCCAAACTCCTAAAGAAAATCTTGAGAAACCACAACCTTATAGAGTTATTTGCTGACAAATGGTTAATTCATTAAAAAATATTTTTGTTTACCCGTTTTGGGGAGAGAACATTTAAATTCTACTTTCTTAGCATATTTCAATTACACAATACAGTGTTATCACTACAGTCCCCATCAGACATTAGTTCCTCAGAACTTTCTCATCTTATAACTGAAATTTTGTACCCTTTTAGCAATCTCTCCTATTTCCCCCATTCCCAGCCCCTGGCAACTATTTTCTACTCTCTGTTTCTATGAGTTTGACGTTTTTGTTTTTTTTTTTTAAGATTTCACATATGAATGATACCATGCAGAATCTGTCTTTCTCTGTCTGGTTTATATCACCTAGCGTAATGCCCTGCAGTTTCATCCATGTTGTTGCAAATGACAAGATTTCTGTATTTTTTAAGGTTAAATAATATTCCATACACACACACACACACACACACACACACACACACACACACACACATACATACGTATATACATATATATAACATTTTCTTGGTCCATTCATCTGTTGATGGACACTTTGTTTCCATACCTTAGTGACTGTGAATAATGCTGCAATGAACATGGGAGTACAGCTCTCTCTTCAAGATAATGATTTTGTTTCCTTGGGATATAGACCCAGAAGTGGGATTGCTGGGTCATATGGTAGTTCTATTTTAATGTCTTGAGGAACCTCCATGCTGTGTTCCATAGCGGCTGCACCAGTTTGCATTCTCAACGGCAGCACACAGGGGTTCCTTTTTCTCCACATCCTAGCCAGCATTTGTTATCTTGTCCTTTTGAAAATAGCCATTCTAACCGGGGTAAGGTGATAGCTCATTGCGGTTTTGATTTGCATTTCCTTGATGATTAGTGATGTTGAGCAGGTTTAATTTCTTTAATATATAAAACTAAACATCAAAGGTAAAAAACACCATTGAAAAATGTGTAGAAACTATGTAGAGGTGTATATTTATGGATGCTGGCAGAAAAAAAAATGAATGAAGGATATAAGCAGATGACTCACACAATAAGTTCAACGAGTCAACAAATATTTGAAAAACATGTTCAATCTTATTAGTAATTTAAAAAAAAAACCCACAAGACAATCCTGAGATACCATGTTCTGCCTGTCAAATTGGAAAAGATAAAAAAGAATGATGGTAAGCGTGTGGTCGACTGCTGGTGAGGCAGCATGGCTACATTTATCCAAAGTTCCAAATTCAACAGTTCTACTTCTAGAAATTAAGATTCACACAGTATTTGGAGAGTTTCCTCCATTTTCATTACCACTAGGATGGGGAGCCTGTACCAAGGATGAGAGAGTGTTTTGAGTAGCAAGACATTGGAGACCTTCTCCATGTTCATCACGGGTGTTGCTTAAGCCCATCAACACTCTAGGTTGCCAAATGCCCAGTAGTTTAACCAACTACCTACCAGCGTGTTGACTAAACTGACATGAATTCAGTCCGAATGATGCCTTGTGGGGAGGGGTGTAGGGGTGTATGCCTTGTTTCTATTCCATCAGGTATTCATGCCAGGGACACCACTGTTGCTTCTGTGTTGAATTGGAGTCAAAGCATATGAAACACTTTCTACATTAAAGGGTTAACTATATTTATGATCACCCACTGCTGGATTGTTAAAGGCCTAATGCACCAGGTGTAAATGTGCCTTTCTTCCAGCCTCCTCCGGTGTCAGGACTTTGTAGAAAATACTATCTTCTACTTCAGCGAGCACCCACTGCACACACATGTAAGCTAGACTTCAGTCCTGGAGGGAACACCAGTATCAAAAACCTTGGAGAATAACATTCCTGCTTGAGGCAATCTAATTAAACTTCTGTCAACTCGAAGTGGCCCCCAATGGACAGATCAAACCTATTTTTAGGTTCCAAGTGTTATAAGAAGAAATATTTAATTAGAATGGGGGATGTTTAAAATAGCTTTCTCTCTTAGCATCGGTGCCTGCTGGCTTGTTTTTCCTGATGTCATTAATCACTAGTGAACGGATGTCAGAATTCACAGCTATAGCTCCCGTCAAAATCTGCCTTCTTTGGGTAGTTTGTCCCATAATTCAAAATGCCATGTCTCTCCAGGATTTGACACTTTCCTGCAGGCCAATGGCACTGAGAGCTTTAGACAATTGAATTTTGAGCTTTTCTTCAGAATAAGAGCCCCAGGCAGGGTATTTCTCCCATGAAGCTCTATGGTTCTTGGCATCAGTGGAGAGATGGTCGTGTTCAGACTGAGGAGTAGAGAATGTTCCGTGGTCCTGGGACCAAGAAGGGCTTGATGATGCCTCGGGACCTACGTGAAGAACTGAGCTATATAGAAAGTGATGGAAGGGAGATAATTCGAGCTCCTTTAGGGTTCAAATCTAATTTTTAGTATTCCTTTATAATTTTTCTGGATCAACAAGTTTTTTAGAAATGGGAGAGAACTAGATTTACTTTGCCAATAACTGTGCTATCTAGAAAGTTATACAGATAAGACTTTATTTTTTAAAAAACACAGGAGTACTTAGTAAATGGCAGGCACTGTTCTCAGTGCTTTATGTGTTTTAAACTCACCTAGTCACCACAACAGCCCTTTGAGATAGTAGTAGTATTATTCCCATTTCACAGATGAGGAAACTGAGGTGCAGAAAGGATAAATAACTTTCCCCAAACCACTCCCTAGTGGGTGGCAGAACCAGGATTCCAACATAGTCAGTCTGGCTCTGGAGTTGGGTGCTTAGCCATGTCTTCCATTTTATTACTTTATGATTAATAAGGACATTCTTTCTTTATTCCCAATAGATTTTAAGTGGTGCATATCTCCTAGAACTTCACCTGCTGGCTTCCTACAAATTATTGCCCTTCTCCCAAACTCAAAAGCTGTTAGAAAGTCATTATTTGTGAGAGGACAAGGTACTTTTACATGGCACTTGTGGGAGTATAAATTAAATCGGTTTGACCCTTTAGTCCAATGTCTCTACTTCTAGAAACGGATCTAAGGAAATAATCTAAGATGTATATAGAGAAATCTGTTTAAAGTGAACAGACACTTGTTTCTAGTATCATCAGAACCTAGAACAGTTTCTGGCACATAGCAGGCATTTGGCAAAGAATTATTAAGTGACCAAACTGCAAATTACAAGCAAATGAAAAACAAAGATACAAACAAAACCTCAAGGTGCACCCAGAGGATGAAATAATTTTATCTCTCTGACGGTCTTCTATACAGACATTAGAAATCACGTTTGTAGAAGGAATTTCATTAATCGCAGCTTTTACACAACCTTGTAAGTGAATAAATTAAGCACTGAAAGATTAGGGACATTATTTTCTTGGGTTCCTATAGTACAACAACCACTCTTAGCAGGAAAATGGTGTGTTTATAGATTTTTCCCAATTAATAAATCGTTTATTCACTGTAAGAGGTATGTTTAAAATTATTCACATTTTACATTTTATTGTTTTAATTGTATTTATAGTTTTAAACAATCTGTTTGATTCATTTCAAAACATCACTAGTAGTTACCTGCTTGGCAAGTTGTGAATGGCTGTCATTCTATCCTTTGGATTTGGAATGTGTCTCACCTTTTCTACAATAAATATATGTACTTTTGTAATCAGAAGAAATAAATGTTTAGAATTTTACCTTCCATGGGGTCAAAAGGAAGGAACAAAGATAACTAAGGACAGAAGAAAAGTGGCGATAGGAAAAATGCCTAAAAGTTCATAGTGGTTGTATTTACCTGGGGGGGATTAAGATTAGCATTTCACTTCTTTTAATTGATATAGGCTTTCCAGTTGTATAATAATGAACATATATTATTTAAACAATATAACATTTATTTTTTTAATGGAGAAAGTAGAGTCTGGGTGGGGGAGTTTTAAAATTGGCTGCAGCGTCTGCCACTGGTTAGGGAGTTTCACTTTGGTCTCCACACATGACACTCGCCTCTCCTACCCGCCCCCCTGGCCTTATGATCCTGGCCATCTTGCTGACCAGTTGGGGACTACCGTGCCTCCAGGATTCTGGCATCTGGTAGATGTTCACATGTTTGTTTAATGACTAAACTAAATAGCTGTGGAGAAAATTGTTAACTTAATATTTTAAAATGTGTTCTGTTTGCTTTGTGAGCACAGTCTTCTTACCATGTCCCTCACCTCTAATAATCCCGCGTCTCCAGGGTGGGATATCCACTTCCTGGTGCATTTCAGGTTGTTGTGCATTATGTCCTCTTCATACACCAAGGGGATCGGGAGCATCAGCGGTCCCTGTTCAGAGAGAAGGCTTTGAACCACCTGGAGGATGGGGAACTTGCCTGGGAGAACCCTACCTTCTGAGGGTGTTGAACCACCTACGCTGGAATGTTTGGTGGTGGGGTTGGGGGTGACAGTTAAGGCTGAAGAATAGTCACAAAGCTCAGAATGGCCACTGGGGGTCAGTCTTATTCATGGTAGGTACGATGGTCCCCAGCCCCCCTCCTCCCCCAGTATCTTCCCAGCTCACAAACTGGTCACTGAGATTCTGCCACAAGAGATACACCTTTCTGGTTTAAGGTTTCTGCCAGCGCTAATATTTAAATACTGTCAAACATTTACACTTCAATGTGACTGAAGGTTCTGAAAGCACGTTGGGTAGGAAAGTATTGGGGATGGCCTATTGCCTCTTCTTTGTCAGGTTTTGCGTTAGGAGCTTTATAGAGTAACCACAGAATTTATCCTCCAAACTGGAATGCTTCTGAGAGTGAAAAGAGATGCTCATTTGAGGGATGGGGTGGCAGGGCAACAGGCAAAAAGTGGGAGCGTCTTGCATCAACAGGTTTGCATGGTCTCCTCATGTATGGATATATCATGTTTGTAGCAATGAGAAATTATCCTGCCCATTTAGACGAGGGAACTAAGGTTCAGGGAAGTCAAGAAACACGTCCAACGTCCTTGGTTTCAAAGTCTGTGCTCTTTTATCCCCTTAAGGCTCAAGGTCAGTGGGCTCCTGGAAATCAACAGGAAAGGGATGTCACTGCGGGGAGAGCGGGAGAGGACTTGAACAGGATAAGACGAGGAACGACCCAATGGTACTTTGTTAGCTTGGTGATTGCTGCCAGGACCAGCTCTGGACGCAGTCTGGAAGGTATGTGCGGTAAGGCTCATCGTTGAAAAAGTCCCCTGACCCTTTGCTGCTCTGCCTCAAAGGTGCCTCATCATCAGGTGTCAGGCCACCTGTCCCGGAACTGTGTGTCCCTCTCTTGTGCTGTGCATGTGGCCTGCCAGGAGGCCAGAACTCTGCTTCCTTTGTGTTATGTTCCCTCCATGCGGTTGCCTTTCTGTCTCTCAGGTCAAGGGTACGAGTGCAAGGGTCTCTAACGCAGCTTGCATGAGAGTCTAGGATCTCTCTCATGTTGTCAGGTTTTGAAAATTTCCCTGGACTTTGCCTTATGAATGAGGGAAAGAGAGGAACTTATTTCATGTCCTGGAAAGTCTTCTGTCACAGACAGCCAAGGAGGGTTTGAGGCACCCATGTTTCATTGCAGGGTCTGGGATTCCAGGGGAGGAACAAGGGTACTTAGCATTTATCTCATACATTAGGAAAGGCGTTTCTCTGAGAGGGGAACACACTTCCTCCCATGGCATGTAAGTAACCACCTCCCTACATTTCCATGCTAGGGCTCCATCCCAAGTATGGAGAACCGACCAACAAAACCATGTTCACCTGGTGGAACTCCTTCCACAAGTACTGAGGCTGATGCTTCTCAACTCCCTTTTTTTCATGTCTATTCACATATCTTTGGTCTTCATGTCTTGGCCTCCTCCCTAAGAAGTGGTCATCAGAGCTGAGCCTGAACTCTCACCTGGAGACTTTGGGATGCCCCAAGGAGATATTATGGCAAGAAGAGACCACCCTGCCACTCACCACCAAAGAGACCGTCATTATGACCCAAGAGCTCCTGACTGCACTGAACCAGACAGCAGCTCCCCGTGTACCTTTTGAGAAAGTCCAAAGCCCTCACAGATACCTCTGTTCTTTTTCTAGGGCTCCCTCCTCAAGGTCACCTCTAGATCTGAGCTCCTTGTTCTTTTGAATTTATTTTGTAAAATGTACTGTCTCACCGTGCTGCATTTTCTCATTATCCCACTCTGTTCTAGGTCGAACCAGGAGTTCACCCATTTCCACCAAAAACCAAAACCAAAACAAAACCCAATTCTAGGTTCTGGGAAAGTGGTAGTGGATGCATCTTTTTTAATCTTTCCAAATTCTTCCATGCAAAAAGGACAGCTGGATAGCAAAGCCATAAACCAATGGTCAACACTTACCAAACATCTCAACTGCCTCTCCCAAGCCAAGGTAGTCCTACAAACCCCCAAATGGAAGGAATGAGGATAAACCATCAAGAACCACAAGACTCCCAGGGATCAGCGTCTATGTAGCAGAAACAGAGGGTAGCAACAGGGCCTCTGATGGGCTTGAGAACAGGAGAGACTGAAAATATCCCACTGGCGACACGGTTGGCCAATTCAGGAATGGTAGTTGAACCTGGGGGAGGGCTCGTGCTCACTAATCACAGGTGAGGGCCAGAGCCCCCTAGTAATGTTAAGAGGGGCAGGAACAGCCTAGCCCCTGTGAACTCCAGAAACTGATATACTCAAAAACATCAGTGGCCCCTTAGTGTTTAGAGTGTTAATCTTAGACTTTTTTTTTTTTTTAGCTTGACATTCAAACCCTTTGATAGCTTCACCCTAGTGTGCCTTTCCAGTATAATTTCCAACCATATCTTTTGATTCGCCCTCTATGCCAACTACTCTGTTCTCAGGGGTTCCATTTGCCTTCTCCAATTCCTCAGGTCTTGCATTTCACTCAGCCCTCATGCTATGGCTCGGGTGAATTCTGGATAACATCACTGAAATGTGCAGGCTCAAGACACAGTTGGTGTCTCTCAGTTAACTTTTGGCACAAAATTTTTATAAATACAAATTCCTTTTGGAAGAGAATACTGCTTCTGCCAGACAAAGTTTACTTAGTTCCACAAACAACAGTAGGACACTTATCACTGTAGCTCTTGTTATAACACACGTCTCCCTTGACTTTCTCCTACTTTAAAATAATTTAATCATGTTCTTATTAAAAAATCCATCCCATATTTGGGAAAAGACTAAAAGGCATTTGCTTGATTTCTGAAATAATGATAGGGCATTTCCGTTTGCCCAGGGAGTACCAGCCAAGGTCAAGTTCCACATAAGGTGTGGACCTTCACCAGTTCTGAAGATTCCCGGGGAGAAATGAATGCCCATGTAGGAGGCTTGAGACAGTAAACTTGATGTCCTCCTGGTGACTCTGGCCTTGCCCTGACCCATGGCCCCATGGGATGTGAACAGAACTGCCCTTGTTGAGAGAAGGCATGGATGCAACATTTTCCATTTCTTTCACCAAACATAAGTGTATGATGGGAGGAAGATTTTGATATGCGGAATCCCACCACGTCCTCAGTCAGAGACACAGATGTACCATATGATTTTGAGCGTGGCACCCAGGATTTGGGTCTAGTTCAAGCACGCAGCTCATAAAAGCCCAGACAATAAAAAGTGAAGATGTAAAAGATAAAAGGGTTGCTTTCAGATGCCATAAAATATTGTTTAAAACCCTTCTTAACCATAGCGTTCTAACCTTTACATTTCCATTTTTATGCATGGAAAAAAGAACTGTTCGGTATTTGTACTAACCGAGCCTCAGGAAATGAACATCTTCTGGCCATTAAAAGCAGGTTCTACTAGTTCAGTAATGGCATCTGAATCACTCTCTTTGCGATCCTGGGCTTTGCCGTCACGCATTGGAATGCGTTCATTTCCTTGCGCTCAGGAACTTGCTAATGCTTTAATTCCTGTAGGTAAATCCTGTGGGAAAAAGTAATACTGCATCTGAAACTTCTGACAAAAATACACGCAAGTTGTTTTTTTTTTTAATAACAAGAGATTTGTTGTAGCTGTTTTAAGATAGCAACCATTGTGGAGACCTCTTGAGTACAATTATGGTTAGACTTGAACCTTTAAATATTTAGCTAATGCTATTTTCTAGGTATCATTTAAATTAATAGCAAAATAATAATGATTAAAAAATCATAGCTTATTATATCATGCATTTTCTATGGATTAAGCCCTGTGCTTTTTAAATCTTCCCAACATGTCTGGGGCAGGTACTGATCATTAGCTCCATTTTATAGGTAAGGAAAGTGAGACTTAGAGGTAAAATTAACTTGCCTGAGGTCAGACAGTGCCAGAATTTTATTCCAAATCTGTCTGGCTCAGAAGCCCAATTTCTTAATCACTTTTGATGTACTGTATTTTGCCCACTTGAAATTTTTATAAAATGCAAAACACAATTCCTTAAAACCAGAAACGGTGTTTAAAACATAAAACCATCTCCGTTTTGACTCTGAAGTTGGGCAACCACACTGTTCCCTATGTCAAGGCATTGTAGTCACAGTAACTAGTCTAATTGCCTGGGTTTTAGTTTTTTCATTGGCAAAGTTAAGAAACTGAGCCCAAAACACCTTTTCCTTCTGACGTTCAGTCATTTGTCTGTTCAGCTAATGTTTATTTGGATTTCTACTATAAGGAAAGACCGGGTGATCGAATCATAATAATGGACTAATGAGGTATGATCCCTAAGTGTAAAGAGCTCAGTTTAATGGAAGAGAAGAATTCACCAACGAACCATCAGAATCCAATGTAGTCTGTGCTGTAAAAGGTATGTGTGCGTGTGTGCGTGTACACATACATAAAAACACACACAATCATACGTATACATATGTATGCACAGACACACACACACACACACACACACCTATGGGAACAGAGTAGAGGCAGGGACTTAGAAATTGGGTGTTTCACACAAGTGTGACAATAATTCCATGAGGAGAAGGGGCTGAGTCTGTTTTTAGTCCACCGGTGTCTTGGGCCTGGCACATCAGTACATACTTGTTGAATGATGGCATGAATGAAAATGAGATATAATCTGCGTTGTAAAGGATTCATGGAGGCTCACCAGGTGGAGAAGAGAGGGTAGGACACACAGGCCAGGCGGCAGGAACAGCATGTACAAAAGTAAGGAGCACACACAATTTCATGGTGGGTTGAGCGAGGCCTTGGAAACTTGGCCCCAGCAGGAGGGTGCATGTGGGGTAGCAGCAGAAAACAAGGTTACAAAAGGTAAATTTTGGCCAGGTTCACGGTGGGTCCAAAGCCATGGGTTTGGGTGAGGTGTGACTCTGCAGGGCTCTTTCAGTGGGGAGAACCTGTAGCCCTGGATGCCTTACTTATTCACAGCTATTGGACCCAAAGTAATGTAATGTGACTACTTAGCAAATAAAAGGGTAACAGTGGAAACTCCACTAGGAAAAGATATTGTGGGCGGGCTCCCATTTTCAGGGGAAAAAAAGATATCACCAACTTAAATCAGAGGAGCAGTAAGAATTATTAACATTAAACAACAGGTAGTCAGATTGAACCTGAGTATAGGAACCTGTTTGGAGGCAGGAAGCTCTTGTGCCTGTGAAGGTCTGTCCGTCCACTAGGAGAACCGAGAGTAAGAGTAAAAGTAAGGCATCCTTGGAAATGTGATTTTTCAGCCCCACCCATTAAGAGGTAGGAGCCTATTTCCACATTCCCTGGATTGGGCTGGCTTTATAAATTGTATTGAAATAGTAGTGAGGGAGGCCAATTCTGAGCCTAGGCCTCAAGAGACCGTGCTTGCTTCCACTCACTCTCTTGTAACACTGCTGCCAACAATGTGAACAAGCCTGGGCTGGCCTGCGGGTTGTCACCCCAAACTGAAAGCCAGCCAATCTCTAGAGGCATGGCTGAGGCCATCCTACACCAGCCAGCCCAGCCAGCTCACAAGCTGCACATGAACAAGCTTAGCTGAGTCCAGCCTCACTCAGCAGAACTGTCCAGGCAGCCAGAAGACTCATGAGCAAGAATAGATGGTAGTTGTTTTAAGGTAAAAACAAAGGGATGAAGGGAGGGAGGGAGGGAAGGAAGGGAGGGAGGGAGGAAGGAAGGAAAGAAGGGAGAGAGGGAAGGAGGGAGGGAGCAAATGTGATAGAAAAGGGTGATAATGAGTTGCCTAGCATCTAGCTCTTACTATGGGTTAAGTCCTGGGTTACCCACTTTACATACCTTATTTCACTTAATTAGTTCTTGGTTATATCACATTTGTTCATAAATGCATCAAATCTCTCTTCAAAGGAGAGTCTGATTCCAAAAACTTCCAACTTGATTTACCAAGCTGCATGCCAGAAGGATTTTATTCAAAGCTTTTGGAATCAGACAAATCTGGGTTTCAATTCCAATTCTCTCTTGCCCTCTGTATAACCTGAGGTAATGTATTTAACACAAACCCCAGTGTCAATTTCTGCATCTGAAAAAGTGAGATTACATAATAGTTACGGGGAGACCTTCAAGATGGTGGAAGAGTAAGACGCGGAGATCACCTTCCTTCCCACAAATACATCAGAAATACATCTACACGTGGAACAACTCCTACAAAACACGTACTGAATGCTGGGGGAAGACCTCAGACTCCCCAAAAGGCAAGAAACTCCCCATGTACCTGGGTAGGGCAAAAGAAAAAACAGAGACAAAAAAATAGGGACGGGACCTGCAAGAGTGGGAGGGAGCTGTGAAGGAGAAAAGGTTTCCACACGCTAGGAAGCCCCTTCGCGGGCGGAGACTGTGGGTGGCGGAGGGGGGAAGCTTCGGAGCCACGGAGGAGAGCACAGCAACAGGGGTGCGGAGGGCAAAGCGGAGAGATTCCCGCACAAAGGATTGGTGCCGACCAGCACTCACCAGGCCGAGAGGCATGTCTGCTCACCCGCCGGGGTAGGCGGGGCTGGGAGCTGAGGCTTGGGAGAGGACTGGGGTTGGCGGCGTGAACACAGCCTGCAGGGGGTTAGTGCACCACTAACTTAGGGAGTCTGGGGAAAAGTCTTGACCTGCCGAAGAGGCAAGAGACCATTGTTTCGGAGTGTGCGAGGAGAGGGGATTCAGAGCACAGCCTAAACGAGCTCCAGAGACAGGCACGAGCCGCGGCTATCAGCGCGGACCCCAGAGACGGGCATGAGACGCTAAGGCTGCTGCTGCTGCCACCAAGAAGCCTGTGTGCGAGCACAGGTCACTATCCACACCTCCCCTCCCGGGAGCCTGTGCAGCCCGCCACTGCCAGGGTCCCGTGATGCAGGGACAACCTCCCTGGGAGAACGCATGGCGCGCCTCAGGCTGGTACAACGTCATGTCAGCCTCTGCTGCCGCAGGCTCGCCCCGCATCGGTAACCCTCCCTCCCCCCTGCGGCCTGAGTGAGCCAGAGCCCCCGAATAAGCAGCTTCTTTAACCCTGTCCTGTCTGAGCGAAGAACAGACGCCCTCAGGCAACCTACACGCAGAGGCGGGTCCAAATCCAAAGCTGAACCAGGGGAGCTGTGCGAACAAAGAAGAGAAAGGGAAATTTTTCCCAGCAGCCTCAGGAGCAGCAGATTAAATCTCCACAATCAACTTGATGTACCCTGCATCTGTGGAATACCTGAATAGACAACAAATCATCCCAAATTGAGGCAGTGGACTTTGGGAGCAATGATATATATATATTTTTTTCCTTTTTATCTTTTTTGTGAGTGTGTATGTGTATGCTTCTTTATGTGATTTTGTCTGTATAGCTTTGCTTTTACCATTTGTCCTATGGTTCTGTCTGTCCGTATTTTTTTTTTTTAGTATAGTTTTTAGCACTTGTTATCATTGGTGAATCTATTTTTTGGTTTCATTGCTCTCTTCTGTAGTTCTCTTTCTTTTTTATTACTTTTTAATTTCTTTTATTTTTAATAATTATTTTTTATTTTAATAACATTATTTTTATTCCTTCTTTCTTTTTTTCTCCCTTTTCTTCTGAGCTGTGTGGCTGACAGGGTCTTGGTGCTCTGGCCGGTTATCAGGCCTGTGCCTCTGAGGTGCGAGAGGAGAGTTTGGGACATTAGTCCTCCAGAGACCTCCTGGCTCCATGTAATATCAAATCGAGAAAGCTCTCCCAGAGATCTCCATCTCAACGCTAACACCCCAGTCCACACAATGACCAGCAAGCTACAGTGCTGGACACCCTATGCCAAACAACTAGCAAGACAGGAACACAAACCCACCCATTAGCAGAGAGGCTGCCTAAAATCATAATAAGGTCACAGACACCCCAAAACACACCACCAGACATGGTCCTGCCCACCAGAAAGACAAGATCCAGCCTCATCCACCAGAACACAGGCACTACTCCCCTCCACCAGGAAGCCTACACAACCCACTGAAACAACCTTAGCCATTGGGGGCAGACATCAAAAACAACGAGAACTATGAACCTGCAGCCTGAAAAAAGGAGACCCAAGCACAGTAAGTTAAACAAAATGAGAAGACAGAAAAACACACAGCAGATGAAGGAGCAAGGCAGAAACCCACCAGACCAAACAAATGAAGAGGAAATAGGCAGGCTACCTGAAAAAGCATTCAGAATAATGATAGTAAAGATGATCCAAATCTTGGAAACAGAATGGAGAAAATACAAGAAATGTCTACCAAGGACGTAGAAAAACTAAGGAGCAAACAAACAATGATGAAAAACACAATAAATGAAATTAAAAATTCTGTAGAAGGAATCAATAGCAGAATAACTGAGGCAGAAGAACGGATAAGTGACCTGGAAGATAAAATAGTGGAAATAACTACTGCAGAGCAGAATAAAGAAAAAAGAATGCAAAGAATTGAGGACAGTCTCAGAGACTTCTGGGACAACATTAAATGCACCAAAATTAGAATTATAGGGGTCCCAGAAGAAGAGAAAAAGAAAGGGACTGAGA